AGTCACGTGATAAATAGTCTGGAATAATATAATAACGAATTGGCAACGGCCTTCTTTTGTAAAGTCATAACAGAATCAATTTAGGTACATTAAAAACGTCATATCCTTTCAAGGTCGCCAGCCATTTCGTTTCAACTACTTTGAATGGCCTGATAAGAAATGGTCATTCCGCATTTCATTAGCCATGGATTTGTTGGGTTTCAAGAATATTAGGTTTTCTCATATTTAAGTCGTCTTCTGCTGCAGTAAAAAGCACATAATAACTGCCGAAAGCATTAATTTAGCTTCCTCTGTTTTGTAATGTACACGTTGGCTATACTGTTGCTTCGTAACTTGATCTGTGATTCCGATTGCTCTAACAAACCTCACCACCTTTGCTTAAATTTTTGATAAGGTTCAGAAAACAACCTAACAAGGATAAGAAAAACTTAACAGTTATAGATACGTGAAGTTTTTGTGAATCTCTGTTTCACGCAAAAGGTAAGACAAAATGTCAAGTAGCCGGTAACTCTTGAAAGTTTGAAGTACTTCCTTAAGTTAGTAAAGTATTATTGCAAGGAATAACTTTAATAATAAATACTCAGTGCTGTTTGCAGTGCTTCATGCTCAAAAGACATTTTAGTCGACGTAAGCGAAGCGTTTCAACGTATAACACTGAATTTGATAGTGCGCTAAAGGAATTCCAAAACGTGTGGAAGAATAATTTTACACCCTCTCAGACTATCCATACTCATTACATTCACATCGAAAGTGCAGTGCTGAAGGACATGAGTTTCGAATACATGTTTGTAGTGTTTCATTGCACATTTGGTCATAAGCGTAAATTAAAAGGTCTGACAGTGAATCAAAAACCGTGAGAACTTTAACTAACATGTGAAGTTTTAAGCCTAAGTTTCTAAACTGCCAATCAAGGTTCCGTGCAAGATTGGAAGGTGAAGAATATGTCATAAAATCATACAAGATGCTTCATAATCATCCTTGTAGTAGTTTATGGATGGTTTGTGATCCATTGACCAGAATATTGTCCTCAGAAGAAAAAGAAAATTTGAAGCCGGTGATATTCCAATCACAATCAACAGATGAACTAATAGAAAGTATTAAGGATCGAACTGGTAAACAGGTCACTTATGCTGATGTGAAGACTATGAAATCTCAAATCTTCACAGGTAAGTGTATAGAAGTTTATTTCAAGTTATTATACGCAGCTGCAAGTAATCGATATGTTGCAGCAAAAGGGTGAACTAAGAGAGTATACAGAAAATGGATATGTCACCAGAATCTGCTTTAGTATTTAAGATCTGATGGAATTATGTAACAAATATCTAAAAGTAGTTTGTATTGATTCTACTTACAATACCAATTATAAAAAGTGATTATGCTTTTTATTCAATTCTACTTGGTGGATATTTGTTAATACAGTTGGTAATAACGGATGCTCCACGACAACTACTTCCGTTGATTAATCTACTTACTCCGCTTGCACGGTCAAAGGTTTTATTGAAACTGAAAAATATGCGTTTCGTTAATATGGAATACGAAAATGATGACTGGTTGTTCATGATTGACAGGGGTAAGCATTATGAAGTGGATACAAGCACTTGCGAATGCAGTTGTCGAACATTTGTCACAAGACAATATCCTTGCCGTCATATGCTACTGGCATACGTAAAAAGACGAAACCTTACAGGTAAGTTTAACTAATTACGAAATATAAACTGTATGGCTCTTAAACATTGTAGAAGATGGAATATAGATTATGCGCATAACTTCCAAAATAACACGACAGTATCATTACTCAGACGGAGCGAACAGTATATATGGATTCGGCGAAGCAAAAGAATGCACAAACAACAGATTATTGAGAAATATGGTGAACGTTTCGCGATGTTAGTAGAGAGAAAAGTCGACAATTTTCACTTAAGAATCATCAGTAACTAGGTAAGACTGCAGTTTTTCAAACACTTATTTTTGTGCAGTCTTCTTTACGGTTAGGAACATAACAAAGTGCGGAGACGTTACAAGAACTGTTTACCATAAAAAGTTCTTTTTTGGTTGTGTTTTTGACTTCACTATATGTACAACTTGTAAACTTATTCTTCTACATTATATGTCATTCTTCCTTTACCAGTAATAATGATGCATCAATAAACTTTTGCACAATTTTTATTTTAGTAGTTGCATGGGGAGATATACCGATAATGTCAACGCGTAACTGTTTGTGAAAATTAATAGGCACCCATTTTTTTTACGAAAACTTTTAGTGCATCAGTGTAGAGGTTTCGCTAGAACACTGCATTGTGTATATAATTTTCTAATTTTCACAATGGGAATCTTTAATATATAATTGTCTTCGCTATGATAGTATATTCGGATGGATACTTGTTACTATCCACATTAAATATATTATTCTATCCCCAGTTCAAATGTGTTCTTCAGAATTACTAATTATGATTGTTAATTGTCACAATATGATGAGTAAGTGCAAACAGTGATGCGACTTCAATGTAAGATCTTACAGATTAGGCGATCACATCATAACAAATTCACCGTTCTGGACTAGGTCTATTATCAAAGTAGTACTAATACCGAACTAGACTATAATTCTATATACTAACAAGATCTATAGTGCAAAAGACTGAGTATACTTGCTCTGTATATATTTAAATAATTCATCGGATGAATAAACGTGACAGTGGTCCAACATAAAACACAGCTGTCGTCAACCTATACATTGTTTCTCCATATGATCTATATTCAGAAATTCTCTAAGTTGTTCATAGGCGTACATTCGGTTATTAGGAAGGTTTGAGCCTTTCAATTAGTTGACAGAAGCCATAAGTTGCATATCAGAAAACGTATGAAGACCTTCACAGCTTCATGCAATTCTGAAAAACAACAAATCAGTCGTGAAACAATCGATTAAACTTCGTTATCAGTATCAAATTCAATAAGTAAATGAAATAGCAGCTGACAGGATGTACCCATATGTGCCTTACTTGTTGTAAACAGTAGTCTTCATTTTCTAATGCTCCTAGAATTTCATCTAGTTGTTTGGTATTAACAAAGAAACCACAGGTACCGATTAAACGGATTCAAAAACTTCAATTAGTAATATGAAATCTGAAAAAATCTAATTACAACGTTCATCATATTATTAGCAATTCACTGTTTATATACAATAATGACATAACTGGTAAGTACTATTTATATATTACTCGTCAATATGTATTAGAACTTTGTTTATAATTTGGTCAGTGGTTTCGGATTCTGTAAACAGAAATTCACTCATTAACCATATAACAGACACATCATAAATTAGTACTAACTACAATATGGTTTAATTACCATCCTCAAAACAAATACACATCGTTTGACTTATGAAGAATATGTGACTAATTTACATGGCACTTACAGTAATGTTATACATAGTTCCTGTATACGTTCAGAAAGAGGGCAGAAAAGACTATCAATGTCGATTGTCACTCATATAATTTTTCTTTCTCAGATACCTTACATAATAATATGTCAGTTTATTCAAAAGCAATGGTGATTATAATGGATAGAACTGCTTCTGGCTGTATATTAGCAAGTTGTATAATATTCTTAAATAGTTTAACGCTTAATTGCTTCAACCTATATTTTATAAACAACTACCTACATCCATGTTCAACACCACCATAATTAAGGAAATGAATCAAATGCAAATGGTATTAGAGCTCATTTTTGCTTAAAACTCTGATTTCGGTCTATTTGACTTGATAAATGGCAAATTTCATTAGCCTGAGTTTGCATTGTTACAAATAACCACATTAGGCTTACAAAACATTCACCCAAGTGGTGAGCAACAAATACGTCAAACTATTAATCAACTGGAATAAAGGCCATGTAACAAGCACAAATATTACGAAAACTGACGTGAGAAGGAAACAATGCTCTTAATAGCTGATAAATAACGACATCCAAAATCCTCAATAACATGTAATATGTGAGCGAAAACCCATGGCTTAACTTCCCGACCGTTCAATCAGTTTATCAATTAATCTACAAATCAGTACATCCTAAAATGTATTTCAAAATATCATACATGTAAATGACATAAATTAGAATGTTGACTCATACATATTATATAGTTGAAACCACCATGGGAAACCTAGAAACACTGGATGACCATTTCGTCCTATTGTGGGACTCCTCAGCAGTGCGCATCCCCGATCCCGCCTCACAGTGACCTGGAGTTCAACCAGATCTGTTGTGAGATATCAAGTCTCTGAAGACATTAGTGAATGGTCGCTCAACTTCGGGGATTGGTTGAAGTTAGACATTAACACCATCGGATGCCAACCGGCTCAGTAGTCTAGTGGCTAAGCGCTCGCGCGGAAAACTGTTAGGTCCTGGTTTCGAATCTTGCGAGGCGAGATCGTGGATGCACACTGCTGAGTTGTCCCAACATAGGACGAGTTGGCCGTCCAATGCTTCCAGGTTTTCCACGGTGGTCTAACTTCAATTGACTCCTGATTTCAACTACATAAAATTACTGAAATCTTCACAAAACCCCCTTCTCATACATATTAACCATGAAATTAAGAAACGGTAGCATTCGGTTGTCAGTTTCATGATTCTTTTAAACTTAATATAAATATACTCAAAGAGGCTTTTAATTATAATTTAACAGTAATTTTACTTGTTTCTGTGTGTGTTTTCTGGTCGTTGATTTACTCTAGTTCATTGAACAACATTCAGCTGATGTGTAAGTGAACTATTAATTAGAATAATAATTTAGTGTTTTGTGATTTTCATTGTTATTTCTTAAATTCATTACAATATGCTGTAAAAATACTTTGTATATAAATGACACCTTTGATCCCCATCTGTTATATATATATATATATATATATATATATATATATATTCATTGTCTACAGTTGGTTTAGTTGGATCATGATACCATGCCCCATCAATGAAATACTTATATTGATGAGTACCAGGTTTACTATCAATAATTACACAAACTCCTGAGTTCCTATAACCACAGGAATTCTTTTCTCCCAATTATCAAAAGTTCCACTAATATATATATCTTTACCACCACCATTCCATCTAAAAACAGTAAGAAGTTTTAAACCAACTAACTTTCGTGTTGGTAAAGTTCTTGCACAATCTCTGGAAGTATTATTTAAAATAATTTGTGGTTGACTATGCTTATACATTATTCGTTCATCTGTTGAACATAATGGACCTGCATAGGATGGTCTTTCTTGAAGAAAATTGGGGATTTTCTCATCACCACTAGAAGTTGTTGACGTTATCGTGTTGTCAGATGGTAGCACATTATATAACCGATTATTATCATCAAGATTATCGTGAGCATATATATATATATTCATATCTATCCATTCAGTTAACCACTGTTTCTATCATCTAATAGCAAATTACTTTTACAAAATTTTTTTATATTTTAGTCACTTTATTAATTGTATTAATTATAATTAGCTAATTAAATTATCAAAAATGAAGGTAGTTTTCTAATGTTGATTTTACTTTGTCTAACCATTTTACATATTTCTTTATTATAAATTACATACAAACACAACAGAAAGGTTTGTGAAATAAAAAATGAAAAAAAAATTACCTGTTGCCAACTTGTAATATTAAGGAGATGATGATAATAATAAGAATAATAGTAATAATAAAAAAAATAATGAAAACTTTCATATAATGACCTTTTATACAACATAAAATCATTTTGAAATAGTTTCTATGGATGTGAACTTTTTTCATATTTTATAAAATGTATAATTATAATGCATTTGTATGTTCGTATACATACAAGTGTAATCTAATAATGAACAAGTAGTTTATATATTGCATTATAAATATCAATAACCAAACATTTGTTTCAGTGTGAAATCAGAAAAAAAATTCCCTCTGAAATATTACTAGGGGTGGTAGTAGTAGTAGTACCAGTAGTAGAAGGAGAGGATGAAACAAAAAAACATAATGGATTGATGTGTGAGAATCAAAAAATTTTTTAATTGAAATGTTAAGATTGTGAAGAAAATCCCTGCAAGTTGATAAGTTGTTCATTGTATTGTATTAAACTTATTGATTCGCATTTTAATCCAATGATTTAATGACAACATATGATAAACATCAATGGGAAGATTCAAACAAACAATAATAAGTGAATTTAAACTTCACCCTATTGCACAAGCAAGTAGCTATCAGGACTCAGTAGCTGAGTGGATAACGCGATGGAGTTTGAAGCGAAAGTCACTGGGCTCGAGTCCCAGAGTGAACATCAACTCTGACGAGTCCCAAATAGGACGAAACGCACATCATGTATTCCACTGATAGCCACTATCCATCTTTGCTTACCATGCTTGTGAATTTAGACTATATCGAGGCAATACGCACAGTATGCACATATGTCAATTAGAGACTGACCAGTTGCAGTCCTAAACATCAATGGAAAGATTCAAACAAACAATACTCAGTGAATAAAACATGTGATAATAGTAGATATTGGCCATGTATCCGGCATTCAGTATGAGACCAGTAGAATTTATTATTAATATTACTACTGTTAGTAGTTATCGTATTAGTACTGTTCGATAACAGTAATACTGAAATTATCAGTATTCATTAATAACTACCTCTGTACTTTTGCTCTATATAAGTGTGTGTGTTTGACAGATTCAGACAAAGTATTAAAAGAAATGAATAAAATAATTTGCATCACGAATATAGTATACGTAATTTGTTACTTCAGAAGAAAGTTGAAAATCATTAATTGTTTTCACATTCTGTTTACATATATAAGACTTGGAGATTAAGCCAGTTTTGGCAGTAACTTGTAAGAGTATTTTTCAACCCGAATAATGTTATAAGTTAGGATACAAGGTGAACATTTAAAATATTCTGTATGTGATCAAAGATGTTTCTCGTGTCTTTTCTTTTTTCAACACAGATTCATACATCAATGACATGTAACATCAAAATAGATAACTTTATGTGTACAATGTTGAACAGTGTGTAATTTTGCTGCTCGAATAAGGTTAGGAAAAGTAAACGTGAGTGAGTAGTGCACTACTTTGTTGTAATATTAAAAGCTATTTTATCTGTCTGTTGTAGATAAATAATTTCTTATATAAGTGCGAAATCTTCTAGACATTTCGTGCTATAGAACTTCATCACCTTGAACCTTTAATTTCCATGAACCTAAAAAAGAAAACCACTCAGTTCTATACTATTGAATTTTTGTTTTAATAGCTAAAGAGGAATGTCAATTATTTTAGGGAAAATATGTTTTCAAACTGAATGGTGAACACTTATTGAATTTATAGCTTATTGAAGCTGTTATATCGATTGAGTGAGTACCCTCTTTAATATATGAACGTGATAAGACCGTGTATTGGAGGACAGCGATTTATCGATCTGATCGATAATACACAAAAAAGCCGTGTGAGCAGCCTTGAGTACTTATCAGTCCTGCTTTCTGCCTAGCCCAGTCAGTTAAGTCCAGAACACCAATTACAGCCTCTGCAATATGAATCATTATTCTCAAACATACTGGGTTTATATACCAAACAAACTGACCACATCGTACCATAAAATAGAAAATAACATTTGTACAAGATTTGGCCAAATGTGGCTGTGAATAGGGGGAACAGTGATCAATAGACTGGGGATAACTCAGGAATGGTAAATCGTATAATAATAGTCTATGGGTCAAAATAAAGCTCATAATGAAAGGAACATGAATATGAATAGTTAAGTTACTTAACAATTATACACTAGGAAATAAACATATCACATTGGTCCATAAATAGTCCTCAAAGTTACCATTCATAATTCTCCATGGGATATAACAGAAGCATACATGGAAATGGACCAGTTTACCTGTTAAAATTTGAATGTGTTTTTGTATAAATGAAAATCGTACGAATCCAACACATGGATCATTTTCATTTTACCACTTCAACTTGATTCCATACAATTTCATCATTAATTTTCTGAAATTTCACTTAGTAATTAATTGAATTGCATCTATTCAAATGTTCATTATCAGATAATATAAAGTTAAAATAAACTATTCCTATCTGTTACTTTTATCTATCATAAAAATTTAACAAACAGTGGAATAAGAGAATATGTGTAGCAACAATCCAACAGGGATAAACAATAATCAAAATAGTTTAGAATAGGTAACCATACACACTTATGAATATAATGTAATCTATTAATCTAAGGCAGAAATGGAAAAGGTAAATTTATCAGTAGGTTAAGGGAACAAGCAGCATAATTGTTGGTTCATAAATCTATTGCTATCAATTCAATTAGTTGGGTCAATGAAAAATATATCATCTTTTAATATGATTACTACGTTCCTTGAATTTCGTACGGACCGATTCTAAACTGATTGGTTTTATATATGTACAGTATACATGTCCTATTTTATATACATCTGAATATTTATTCTCTGTGAATGGAGTTCAACCGTGTCTGTTGTGAAGCAGTTACTTACTAAAGACAATGTTGGACGGTCGCGCAATATCGTGGATTGATTAAAGTTAGATGGTAAAACTGTTGGGTGACAGCTCAGTGGTCTAGAGGTTAAGGATTCGCGAACAAAACCGAAGGTCATGGGTTTGATTTCTGCTTGTGGGGTCGTGGATGTGCACTGCTGAGGAGTTCCATACTAGGACGAAACGACCGTTCGGTGCTTCCAGATTCGCAATGTTGACCAAACATTGATCGAACCATGATCTCAAATATAAACTCAACAAACTTCATGACCCCATACTGACAGATCTGTGAAGTTGAATTTCCTCTTATGTCACTACAGTTCGATCCATTTACGATATCATTCTAAATTCATATCAGTATTGATAATAATTATTATGAAATAGGTCATATAATCAGATGTGTGTGTGTTGTTTACATAGGGAAATGGTATGATTTTTGAAGTATTAAATTCTCACTAGAATTAATTAAATTATCAAGAGTTATACATATAAGTTTTAAAGTGGATAGAAGCTAATTGAAAGTTTTAAGTAGGTAATAAAATTTTTACTTTTCATCAAAGAATTACATCATGAGTTAAGCACTAACTATAGGTAAGCATGCTGTTTTATTGAACTATGAGCATGGATAGTTGAAGATTGCCATAAGAGATACATTCTTTTCAATAGATAATTCAAGCTGAAGTAAATTTTAGCCTGTTAAAGTATCAAATTGTGATAGATTTATCATGTGAAAAGACAGAAATATATTTGGTAGTTTTAAAGAATGACAATAGTCAACAGGTAAATGGCTTAATCATTATTTTTCTTATCTATAGTCTTTTACCAAATGAAAAAGTGATAAAGACAATTCAAATTAAATCAATCAAAAACTCTCAAGAAACTCTATAAGACAATTTTTATGGTTTACTCTAAACCAGCAGTCATTTAGACAAGACAATGAAGTACGAGATCACTGGATGATTTGTGATCATTTTCTAATCTACCGTTAATGACTTTATATCTGATGAATAATTCAGTTTTATAAATTTAATTGATCAATTCGAATGTCAATAAGAGTTTTGATTGGAATAGCTAGATTATAGCTGAGAGTGGAATCAAGAATACACGTTTGTTTTTATTTGGAACTCGTCAGCTAAATGTTCCTGCCACATCCTTGTTAATGTTCACACAAGGACTCAAACCTGATAACCCTCGTTTTAATTGTTCAACTCATTATCTACGTTAACCATTGATTCTGTTAAACGTGTGACAATATGGCTATGCTAAAGTAATCAACATAGAGTGTATATGTACTAACAGAGTCTGACCAAAGTTCATTATCCAATATCAAAAACACAATAATTCAAACCTTAATAGTGATAGTATAAAATAGCTTATATTGTTTAATATATTCATATCCAGTTAACCAAAGTTTCTGATTTCTGAGATTTAGGACTAAGTATCGTCAGCAAATTAGTATTTTAGTCACTGCATTTATTTCCATATTCTATTAATCAGTTACATCGTAATAACAAGTATATTTTAACTAATAAAATACTTATATCTTACAAAGTAGATATACAATAATTCAAAATCACTCTCAGTAGTCAGGCACTACTTACTATTTCAAAGCACGGTTTGTTTCGAAAAGTCTTGCAATTATTATCGGTGTTTTCTTGTTTTATAGTAGGAATAAGTACTTGACTTGGTTTACATTATCAACGACAATGAATATATTGCCTAAGAAGTTAGACAATATCTCAATCATAGGTCACATTTATTTAATCGAAAGTGGTGTTAGAAGATAAATGATTGCACCAAATGGGTGGACTGCACTATTTAAATATAGTAACGTACTAGTCATATGATAAAATATTTAG